CATTTGATAAAACAGAACTTATTCTTTATCAGACTGAAAGAAGAGTAAGCTTAAAATTGTGACTTATCGATTATTTTTTAAAAGTGGCTCGATTTTCATATTTATCTTTGATGTGATAATAAAGATAGCATGTCGAAAAACGAAAAATAATTTTGAGAACTTAGATGATACATTTGTCAACATTAAAAGTCTCTTCTTAGAAATCTCTCGAAACACATAACCACTCTCAGAACATATCGAATTCCCTTACGAAAAGGAAGATGGACATAGCTAGCTACCTTTCTTAGGCTGTCTAGTTAAAAGGAATTCCAATGGTAGTGTAAATCAAATCATCTACAGAAAACGTACCCATTTAAATCAGTATAGTTATTTTAACTCTGAACATCACTTCAGCGCAGAAACTTCCCTATCCATGAATCTTTTCAGAAGAGCAACCAGGATCATTACTTCTGAAGTCGACAAACCAAAAAAAGCAGTATATGGCAAACATCCTACGTTTTGATAATATTCCCGACAATGTCGCAAAAATATATTTAAATAAAACTGTCCGTCGGCAAGTAACAATCACAATAAAAGATCATGAACTATTACTGTGGTTTTACCTAACCGTCAAGGTATGACAGAAGAATTACAACGGATATTAAAGACGTTTAAAATTAAAGCATCCCATAAGACAACGAACAATCTATGAAACTCTCTAGTCAGAGCATAAGATACTATTCCGACAACCCTGACACAACATTATTTCTACGGGTTAAGTTGTGTCACCTGTGATACGTTCTACACTGAAGAGTCTTCCCTAAGATCTCGACTCGTGCCACGAAACATATAAGTTGCACAAAAAGACCTCCCAATAATACTGTAGAATTGGAAAATTTACAGGTTAAGTCAACAATAGTAGTAAATGCTATTTTCAATAATCACCAAATCAATATTTTAAAAATATCGGAATGTCTTACCAATTATAAAGAGACGTGAATAGCCGAAGTGTCTCACATAATGCTAAATCTCTCTATCCTCAATAAGAAAGACGGCCTGAAAGTTAATCTAACCTGGACTATTTATCCAAACAACCACATATGACCTCATTGACTCTCCACACATTCTACACACACACCTAATTCAAACCCCACTACTTAATTTTATAATTGCATACATTTTTCGTGCCCATACTCTGAAGCACAGTGGTAAGTCATACAAATTCACTTTGACCAAGAATGACTTAACATTGACTCATTCAGACATATTATTATGATTTTGATTATACCAAAATATTCTGCAGTGTCTCCTTCATACCACTGAAATTTTTGTGAATTTGATTCGGTTATATATTTATTCTGAAGAAGTGTGTAACCACCGAAATGCCAATATTCGGCTTGAACGCAGAACTAACGAACCAAAATGTATTCGATTAGATCAGAATACGTTCTTTTATATAGCGTACGAAGAGTTTTTGAGTGACTTGTATTAAATTATATCAAACTAAAACCTCTTTGCTCAATTTAAACAGTCCTAATTTAAGAAAAATTATATTAAATGTACAAAATATTTCACACGGTACAGCCTGTACTATGCGGTCAAGGGATTTTCTTACACTAACGTCCTAAAAAACAAAGGGAATAGTTGATAAAGAAGAATCGTATACCCGAGAACCAATAAAAATATTCCCGACAAGATGGGAACAGATATCTGTCTGCTATGGATCCAGCAACCTTTCTAAGCGGACAGTCAAACGTTAACACTCATACACTGAACCACGCCGTGACCCTGAGTTTAGTCACACATGACCGTTTCATCAATGGCCCGGCAACATGCAACAGTAAATTGAGCAATAAAAGGTGAATCTTTAACCAAGATCAAACAGTTAAAACCTTGAAAAGGAAGACTGGGAAACATAACTTGTGGTTAAAAGGAGACCTAAATAAAGGTTAAAATATAAGACAGGGAGAAGTAACAAACAAATGGCGATACTATTCAACGAAATGTTGTAGAAGGATTGTAAGTGTTTTCTTTCCGTTACAAGCATGTTTGAACTATGCATGTCCGAACCACTACTCACATTGGGTTTCTTATGTCTCGTTATTCTTCGTGATTTTCGGATTGCCAACTACTCTCAGCCGATTGTTCGGCTATCCACAAAGTTCTGAAAAGACTGAAAGTTGCTTATCCTTGAACAACGAGAAAACGCACAGAAACCTGTCCTGTAGAAGTCCTACTGAATTGGCTGAACGTAGCTAGGGATCACAGGTCACCCCAAAATAAATGTTATATCAACTTCACCGATGGCAGAATTCAACTGAGGATGCCTATATACTTGACTTTACTGGTCGTACATTAAAGTCATAGGACGGAATAGACGCAATGTCCCTCTTTACAAAAAATATATTGTTATTTATGAAAGGCTTCAGATAACACTCAATGGGGTACTTAGAAGCGAGAAAGGGCTTCAGTTAGCCCCTCCGGAATTATTGAAATCCCAAGATGTGAAACAAGGAAGTGTACATACCTACAACTTATCGGGATAATCCTTTCGCTCTCTCAACTTAACCACTGACTTCCATGGTTTTATTCTAACCAATACCTGAGAGGATGTATCATATTGTCACATGTCTCAACCACTTGCAAATCAAATGTTGATCGTACCTATAGCGAACTTCTTAAAAAGCCCGTTTGACATTCAGTTTTGAACACATGCCGTCGACGTCACTTTCTCTTAATTCATTCCCCCAAGAGTTTTTACTAAATAACTTTTATCATATCGGTCTCATGAATGATCGGCACATGGACTTGTACCTTTTTTCAAATAATATCACCTTGTATAATTCAGTCGCAGATCTCATGGTTCAATTAGTCCGATATTTTGCACAACAGAGTTTTAACTGTATTTTCACTCACGTTTACAGCTTGCCGAAATGTATAGAGATCAAAACTATCTCCCATCTAGAAGTGCCGTGCAACACCAAACTGTTCAGTAAATAATGCTTCGTCAACTGGAGAAGCACGGTTCATATTTAAAGGTGTGCTTAGATTGGAGTATGTTTATCATTAAAGGCTCTGAACAGAACTGATCCACTTATTGTAAGACTAGGTGCGCTTGCAAAGCGTTGACAATAAACACTAGACATTTATTAGAGAAAAAATGGTTAGGGATTGTGAAAATAGTCCAAGAATTTCGTTTTCGTATATAAAGAGGCGAACTCAGGAAAGCGATGGAACCCCACCACCTTTGGTTCGGGAAAATTCGTTGATATTGGCAAGAAATGATGTTGCAAAAGCTGAAACCTAGTCAGAATATTTTAGTAAAGTGTTTCCTACCGACGATTGGGCAAGACAAACAATTATTACTGATAATGGTAGCTTGTCGACAGATCTTGTGGTTGTTGAGAAAGGAACTGTTTACGGCTACTTCAACATCTTGAACCAGTGTGGTAGTTCTTGCAATATTCATCTCAACATTATAAAATCATTGGTGGGCGTAATTTCTTAACCTCTGGCAATAATTTTTTATATGTCTTTGAGGCAGTCTAAACCACCAAGAGACTGGAAACACCCAATTATCAGCCCGGTTTATTAAGTGGGGAGCATGGACTTAGTTGGTAACTATTGACCGTTTTGGTCTAACCAGTGTAGTTGTCAAGCTTATGGAGCGATTATTCTGATGTCTATTTTAAAGTACGTGGGGGGTATGGTCTTTTATCCGGGGAAAAACGTGGTGTTAGGAAAGGCCTACCATACTTGACAAGTCTGCTCGTCGAGAGGAATATTGGGCTGCAGTGGAAGATATAAATGTTCCTATAGATGTAATTGTCATAGATCTAGGTAAAGCCTTTGACAAATTCTCCCATTTGGGTCCTAAATTAAAATGGGAGAATTTTGGGATCCCTTATGAAATTATAAACTGGATAAGTGACCTTAGAAACGATAGGAAATAAGGGGGCAGTGAATGGAACCATATCAACGTGCGAACCCGTAAAAAGTGGAGTTCATCAAGGCACAATTCTATATTCCCTTATCTTTTTACTTTATGTAAACAATTTACCAACTGTAGGAAACCCATCTATTCTATGCTTTGCAGTTGACATAAAGTTTTGGAGACTCACACACAGTATGTCAAATGGAACAATGTTGCAGGACAGCCTGAATTCACTGGTTGAACGGACGGGTAGGAGGTCATTAGAAGTTAACTATAACACTAGCGTTGTGATGCAAATAAATAACTGCAACGATTCACATCACTACACAATATGTGGAGTTGTGTTACCTGAAGCAATGGATTATAAAGACCTAGGAGTCATAATAAGCAACGACCTCAAAACTACGAGTAACTGCAGGGCTGTCGCTGAAAAAGGCTTCAGTCTGTTGTGGGCTATTCGTGTATCATTTTACTACTTAGACGGAGGAGTATTTAAGGTATTTACTCGAATTTTGAAAGGCCGAATTTCTATTGTGGAAATCAAGCACTAATTCCTTGTTTTGAGCATGCGGCTGAAATGCTAGAACGTGTTCAACGACTAAGGACCGAAACGGTAAAAGGTCTCTTCGGCCTGGCTTGTGAAGACAAACTGAAACGCCGCAACCTATTTCGTTATTTTAACCCAGGCTAAAGAGCGATCTAACACTGATTTACCGTACACCACACGATGATCTTGGTCTTAATATGTCTTGTCTTTTCTTTCCATCTAGGACTGTTCATCTAAGAGGACATTCTAAGAAACTTCGAATGCTAAGAACAAATAGTTTTCCTTTGGATTTCCGTCTCTCGAGTAGGGAACAACTAAAATATTAGAACCTTCGGTTGATACGTTCAAAAAGAAATGAGATTTCGACTGCACTGCAAATTTCAAGGATTAATACATGTTGATTGACCTATAACCCTTACTACTGAAGACTGAAATCCCCTAGTTATTACGATGTGGTGTCCAAAATAAAGATACTATTACATCCATTTGCGCATTCAACAGGTTTCTGGTTAAGAGGTGAAAAAATAATAATCCACCTTGGTGGATATTGAGCGTTGAATCACGTGTTTGTCTGTATTGTTACTCTAGAATAGTCTTGCGTGCTATCAGATTACGAACATGTCTGGTGATTGTCAAGCTGCGTATGTGTGATTATTGATGCATAATCCTTTCCTAGTGTTCACCCATCAGTACTCTGGGCTCAAAGGAATGATTGCCTCTACATCACTATCGTTATTAGTGATGTAATAAATAAAACTGTTAATGTTAAAGAGAAATCCCTAGAGTTTAGGTATATCACTATTCCTCTTCAAACCATTTTTTTAGAGCGGAAGCAGGAAAAGATGAACCTATAAAATATGAAGTCAAACTTGACTTTTATGGAGATGTGTGTACAGAGGTATGTAGTTGTGCTGATACTTGCATATTTCAAGGAACCGAAAATAACTGCTTCCGGTCGGGAAGTTTTTATTTGCATAAAAAAGAAAGAAGCCGGCTCATGGCCACGTCTACTTTCACAGAAAACAAAATGCCCATGGTTAAAAACAGATTTTAATCGCTGGAAGGATGATGATGACTCAGAACCTGATATGGATGGAAATAACTTCTCAAATATGCTGTCTCAGATGTCCAATTTCGGTGACTATGGTGGTGATGATGGTATAGACGGTGATTTAGATTCTGACGATGAAGGTAGGTTACTCCTTAATTATGCCGACTCCTGTTCTAAGTCAGGTACCGTAGTTGAACTGCTTAAAAACCTATCGTAACGTACCACATGTTGTGTCCACACTTCCTTTAACAGGTATACAAAGACGCTGTCTAGTCACATATATGTATCTAGAGACTCTCTGGTCTTAGGAGACTGGGTTGTCTGTCTGTCGAGAAACCAATCATCGAAACATTGTACTATTCGGTTTCGAAGTGGTCTTCGTAAAAATGTGATTAAGTAGTTAGGATTCTTCCTATTATTTGCAAGTATTGCGTTTCTGTAATCTTTTCGATTGTCGCTTAATCCTAGCCATTCCTCATTAGATCTTTTGCATAATCATACTTAGTCATGCTTTCTGAATTACCCCATATTGTAGGTGCCATGTTATTACCGTTGGTACTGATACTACTTGCGTTTATGCTATCTCAGTCTGGTCTGATGTGCTTGTTCGGCACGTCATAAGTGCCATGTAACTAATTTCAGGATCCAGTTAGTGCATAAACTTGTCTATGCAGACTGTTTATCTGCCAATAGTTATCATTAATCACACTGCGACAGCTTTTCCTTATTTGTTTCGTGGTTTATCGAAACATCACAATATCCTAGTCATAAACTATTTTAACTCGTGAAGTACTAATTAGCACCTTACAGTGACATCATCCAATAAATTACATCTTATTTGTCATTGAAATGAGATTTTTCTCATTAACGTCCAGTTCTTTAATAAATTTACTTAATTTTGTAGACCTCCCTGATTTGGAAATGCCAAATGCAGATGGTAACAAATCTGAAGAAAATGGAACCGAAGAAGAAGCCGAGAAAAAGATACCTGAAAAGGAAGTTTCATCAGCTAATTGAAAAATGACCTATCATTCACTCGGTGGTTGTTTGTCTATGAGCCGCCTGTATATGCGCATTTTACACTTTCACCATTGACTATGTTCTTATTACAGCCTTTTACGAAGTAACTTTCTTGTTTGTTACAACTTTAATCTCGTCTTAATTTATCCTTGTTCATTGCTTTCTGGAGGCCAGTTTTTAATCCAAGTGCCTATAACTTCGCGATGCCAGTGGTTTTTCTGACGATTCAAGTACTATCCTGCAGTGTATCGGTATTTTAAATAATTTTCATGCGTTGGAATCCTAAAGCACTCTAAATTATTTTCTTGACAGCGATGTGAGGACATAACCACTTGTCACAGTATAGTTGTAAAGCAACTTAAGTTGTGGACGCAGTAGTCTTGTAACAACAAGGAACATTTCTCTGGGTTGGGTCACTTGTCGAAGTAATCGAGTAGTATATCAAGTGACTTGGTCGAGTGTTCCGACGTTAAAGATTAGTGGACTCCTAACACTTGGGTAGTAACAATACGAGGTCACTCTGTTGAGTCGAATTAAGGTAAGATATGTAGGTTAATATTCGTAGTAACTCTAAGGTGATATTGTTACTGAATCATTCTGCTAGAGAAATATCTTGTGGTGGTGTCATGCTATGCAATTGCATAAGTGTCTCATAAATTCGAAATGAATGGTTGACTGGACGTCCTCGATATCTTGTCGCCTACTGTTAGTAGGTGATGTGTTTGTTTCTCTGCTTGATTGGCTGTAGATTTGCCCGTTGCTCAGGGCGGAGCCATAGAGCTGCTTCTCGCTAGAAACAGGTCGGCATGCCAAGGTGACCGGACGACCGTTCACTAGTGAGGAGGCCTTTATGACTAGGTATAAAGAGTGTCTGCCAACTAGGGGTTGTTTCCCAAAGGTTGGGTGGGGTTCAGTACTTTGTCGGTTTATTGCTTTTCTTAGGCTCGACGCTAACAAGCAGATATTTGGTAAAACGGGGCAGTTAGCCCGCGTCCTGTTATGGACCTTACCTTGGTTCTTGAGGTACTCACCAAAAATTGGACAATTGCGTTGTCTACATTGTTCCCACCGTCTTTCGAGCAAAATAGTGTAAAGGGCGTCTCATTGTAATTATAGAGGTCTACGGATAGGTATTGCGTCTCGGGAGTCGCAGCTGAGTACTACGGATTTGTTTGCTCCTCTGACCCGGTGTTTCCCTTGGTTGATTTGTGTTCTAAGTATTTATACATGCAGCACATGTTTTACTAAATCTTCATGAGATCACGGTGCGTGGCGATCACTGTTTTCTAGCGACTTCAGATTTCACTAACGTATCTGGCTTTTGTCGCTAACATGAGTCACTCCAGATCAGTCTACTAAGTTTAGATTAGGGTATTTGATCAGACGATGAGTGCGGTAGCGTAAAGGATCTCTCGGACCGCATGTAGGAGTAGTGGGGTTAGTTTGTAACTTAGTCACGTGGTAATTGTCTGGGTTCCGTGCCTTATATAGTCCCAAACTTGTTTTTGCGTTTGACCAGCAAGCGTATAGTCCGTAGAACTGGATCAAAGTTGATACATCAGAAGTAGTCTTGCCGTAAGTCCTTTTACGAACACCTTGGAAGGTATTCTAAAGGTCTAGGATAATTGTATCCGGGCAGTTGTATGACTTTTAGCCCGGTGCAATGCGGTGGTTTTGTGGTAAAATGTTCCAGAGTATCCCAATGATCAGTTCAAGTTCGTAAATATACTTCGGTCATCGTAAAGATTTTTCTTCTGTTGCTCCATTTTATTTGCCCAGCCACTTTGTCCACTAGCAAGTCGTTAAGACAAACAAGCTACTTTGTGATTACATGGTTGCCACTAACTTTGTCAGCACTTCTTGTGAAGTATTTTCTGAATAAATACATAGATCTGAAACTTTCTAAGCAGTTGACTGTCATTCTCTGCCAACCAGTGTTTTCAGTATGGGATTGGTTCGTAAATGAACTTGGGATGCACCCCTTACTCAATTGAAGTCTGCATCATATTGCCCACTGGTATTCTAAGCTAATTATACATATCATGTATAGGATGGGGTTTGCAATTGGTCCGATAAATTCCTGTCTCTGGTCTGCAGTACCTTTCGCAAAAGTTATCTTTTCCGAAAACAAACGCACAAGATTTGATTTTTGAATAGTTCCATTCGAACACCACTGGTCGTTCTTATTTTTAAGTGGATAGTCTTTTGAGACTCGTCTCAATATGTTGTTTCATTCTTATCCATTGGCCAATACGTAAGTTTTGATTGTGACTAACCTCTACTCCATCTATTAGTGACGCAATAATTTCCTGTTTTCATTATAGACCGTTATATATAATAGCTAACTATACGATTGTACAGCTCCAGCAAATGGTATAGTCAAAGAAAGTCATCGCCGAAAAGTGTTCATTTTGTTTGCTAAGATCTTAAGCACATTTCGTTTAGCGAAACATAGAATTGAATAACTCATCTATTGTTCAAATCTAAGTGACTAGCTAATTAGTATCGGACAGCTTGCAACTGCTAATTTTTCTGAATGGAGTTCACCGCCAAACATTGCTTAACAATCCATTGCAACAGGAACATTGTTACCGTGACCTTCGAAATTGGCATTGAAATAGAGCTACAGATTATTAGTACATTACACCGATAACTCAACCTGGGAGTCCTGACTCTTATTTAGTGTAAGGCTATCTGTTTTCACCAATTATCAATCCTAATCCCGACCACCTCTAAATATCGTGCTCTCATGCTTGTGGAAAAATGTTGGCATTAGGAATGTTACAGAGATTTAGACAAAATTATTTTATAGAGAATGTATAGACCATCAACGTAGACTATCTATGCCGGATGATTGGGGGCCTACTCTAATTAGACGGGAATAGTGTGACCAACCAGTCAATGTTGAATTCATACCTTTTGGTTAGTAACTAATGCAGATAACCCTTTTGTCGTAACCAGGTACTATGGCTGCTTTGATGACCGTATAACACAAATATATTATTAAAAGTAGATACAATGAACAGAGTGAGACCAGTGCCACATGAATCAGTTCGTGGCGTGCAATTAACCAATACACGTTGTTTGTCAAAGTCTCCAAGCATTGATTGAGATCATCACGTAGACTCCAATTAGGTAGTCTGAACCTGCCTACATGGCTCATCAACAGTCAGTGACTTTGTGAACGGATACCATTTTTTAGTTTGGCTTCTACTAACTTTCTCTAAACCTACGCCTGCACTTTCAAGCAACTCTCGCCAAGGTAGGCAGTGGTTAGGCACATGTAACATATCCCTCAACCATCTCATTCGATGAAAATTCATCAACCGATTAGCCGCCTATGCTAACCTCAGCATTCCTCACTTAGTCATTACACGAAACCAACCAGAGAGTCATTATGGCCCGATGGATTCCAATTCCATACAGCTTTCTATCATATCACTACATATAAAGCAAACTGACCATCTAGTCCAAGCGTCGGTAAATAAATGGTGCATGATTTGATAATCTCTGAATCGACATTTGTAACAGATGTTGAAGCCAGTTTTTTGAATTGGTAACATCACTTAAATATTCAGTACATTTTTAACTCTCAATCTAATTTGTTTGATAAGAAAAAGAAAGGATTTAGGAGCTCAGTTCTCAGCCAAATATTACTCTCAGTCAAGTTCAGCAAAAGACTGAGATACACCTCTGATAGGGTGAGTTTCATTCATCCATGGGGAATGCAAAAATACCAAAGTAAACCATTATCTGCCAAGTACTATGTGGTTTATTTCAGACGATAATAAGTTTATTTTTGTAAGAATCTTATTGAAGGATTCATGAAATTAAGTTTTAATTATCAAAGCAGTAGTTCTAACAATCAAAAAAATCCAAGCAACTGAACAAACAGCATGTAATCCAGTCTCCATTCGATCATAACTGAAAGCGTTAGTCAATTGAAGCTAGATCACCGGGAAAGACCTGGAAGCACTGGACGGCCGTTTCGTCCTATTGTGGAACTCCTCAGTAGAAGACAATTGGTGAACGGTTGCTCAACTTCATGGGTTGGTTGAGGTTAGACATTAACACCATGGATACCGGCCAGATTAGTGTTCTAGAGGTTAAGTGCTCTAGCGCGAGACTGATAGGTCCTGGGTTCGAATCTTGCGATGCGAGGTCGTGGATGCACACTGCTAAGGAGTCCCATAATAGGACGAAACGGCCGTCTAGTGTTTCCGGGTTTTTCATAGTGGTCTAGCTTAAATTGACTCACCCTTTCAACTATGAAAATGCTAAATCTCCACAAAACCCCCTTCTATTCCATCAGTTCAAACATGAATAACAGTATCTGACTGCTTCCAAAGTTTCCAAACATTTGTATTTTAATTAGCTTAATAAATGTTTGTGGAAATAACTTCACAACTTTCCAGACAGATTTCGCTATAACACTCCAAATGGATATTGATTAGTTGTTTTGTGGATGTTGATTTCATCCCGAACCCAAAGTGGTTGCACTTTACTGACTTCCTTCGGATACTTTTATTTTTGAATATTTCCTCACTATATTCCCTAGTATATAAAATTAGTATTCAATTACTTTGTTAGCTAGTGTTCCAAACTTCTGGGATATTTGATGTGTGAACGAGAATGATAATGGTTGGTTGTCTGCTTAGTCAAACTTGTAGGTAGTCTGACAGGTATCAGATGAGTTATATATTCCCATACCCTCATTACTTATTGTTATTGATTGATTGTTCATTGTTGTTGGATTGTGTCGAATTTTGATGTGGAAATATATTGACGTTCTAGTCAGGTTAATCACATGTTCTTGATCTGAATTGTATTGAAGTCCTGTAGAATAGACACTGAGAGGGAATCTAATGTAGATATTCGTCTTAAGTAAATTAACGTTCCATTCGCATATAATAAAGGAGAACAGACCGTTATAACAATTTTATAGTTGAGATAATGAGTCAATTGAAGCTAGACCACCATCGAAAACCTGGAAGCACTGAACGGTTGTCTCATCGTATTGTGAGACTCCTCAGCAGTGCGCATCCATGATCCCACCTCGCGAGATTCGAACTCAGGACCTATCAGTCTCGCACTCGAGCACTCAACATCTAGACCACTAATCTGGCCGGCATCCAATGATGTTAATGTCTAACTTTAACGAATCCACGAAATTGAGTAACTATTCACCAATGTCTTCAGTGAATTGATATCTCACAACAGACTTATACAAGCTTCGTGAACTGGGAATGTAAACGATTTCGGTGACAGGAAATATCCTCAGATC